TTTCCTTTTTAAGTGAATAATTGACATTTCAAACACATTGTAATAACTACGTATTTGTCTGTAGTTCAGCCTTCATCTCTAGGATATGTATTCTTAACTTAAAAGCAACAATTCCCACTACCAATGTTTGCATTTCCCCCTTACCAAAGCCTTCTGTTCTAAGGGTTATCTATCTTCTCACGTTCCTGGATTTGTCTCCAGAAATGCATTTACCCTTCTATATTGTATAGTTCCAAATGCATTCGTTGTTCTCCATAACTTTAATAAATCTTTGAAGCACATGATGATAAAGTGGTTGTGACAGCACTGACCTAAAAAAGCACAATTTGTTTATACTGCTCACATCTGTCACACCTCATTTTTTAATTTAACACCTGGGAGGTGTACAAAAGATACCCACGAGCTGTAGATCACTGTGATTTGGGTCCCAGAAATTTCCAGAAACATATGAAAGGCCGATGACATTTTCTGATTTAAATATTCACTGTTGAAGTCCAAAATGTAGATTGAAGCTGCAAACTGTTGATAAAGAATTCAGGAGAGTTAATCTATTTCTCTTATACAGAATACAGGAAAAAATTATTTCCCATCTTTATTTAGGTGTTGGGAATCTTATACTTCTGAGCTCATCCTCTGTCCCTTCTCCCAGTCCCATGCTCAGTCAGTTACACTGAATCTTTCTTAAATTGGTTTAAGAGGAGCGTTGGATTTGTTAATGCTGTTGTTTCAATGTTTTGTGTGTGTTCATGGCAAAATGAGCACTCTTCACCATTCACAAAATAAGTGTTAGAGCATTACTGAGCAGCTACACGTCTTCAGTTGGCTTTTCAATGAGCTCAAAACCAAGAGGTTAATTGTTGCTGTTGTAGCATGAGCTGAAAATAATGTTAATTTTAATCTGTATGTTAGCAGTGATGAACAAAGGTGTTCTTTGTATACATGGTGTTCAGTGCAGTGTACATCCCAGAGTTGTGCATTCACTTGTGAATATCTGCCTGCCATGTGGTAGGAATTGCTCTGCTCCTGCTAAGTGAGGAAAAAGCTGTGCTGTATTCAGAATATATTGCCACGTTTTAGTGACTGTTAGTATACAGGTGTAAGAACAAAAGTTTTAACTCTGCTGTGGTTCAAAATTACCAACAAGTGTAAGAGAGGACTTTGGGAAGGGCCCTTCCCTGTTCATCTCTGCTGATGTGCTCCACTTATGTTGGCATCTCCCCTTTCGTGCCATTTGCACGCTATCTCCCACAGTGATCTAACACTTCCTTTTGTCATTTTATAGAAATGTATCTGCCCATTTCCTTCTGAAAATTTCCGTATCGTTCTGAACTTAGAAGGAATTAACCTAGAAGAAAATTTACTTTGCTTACTAAGAAAATTTTTGGTTCTTAATATGTTGGAAATACCTTTGGATGAATATAACACGGTTACAGCAAACTGTACAAGGCTATGTAAGGTTACAAAGTATATTAAATATTCATGTGTATAAATAGCAGCTTGTTTGTCTGTAAAATATTTGTGAAATGTATGTTGTAAGAGCAGACAAACTTTAAATTTAAACTGATGGTGAGTTTTGGTCTTTGCTTAACTCTTGGTACTAGCAGTATTTAAGTTGATGATCTGCTCTTCGTTGTAGCCCTGGGAAATGTAGAGTTTTATTTATTTATCTTACTATCTAGGTTTACTTTTTGCTTAACCCATCAATTAGTCTAAATTCTAATATATTCTTTACCAATGCTGCTATTGTAGATTAAACATGGTATCAGAAAAGGAGAAGCTGGGACACATCTGCTGTGTACTGGTGGAGAAGCCAAGTTACAGTTGTGTTGGACTTGTGGTTTGAGGAAAGAAACTGCTAGTAGTGTTGCTTAAGTTTGCTCAGGTACAAGCCTTCATCTTCCCTTTCTGTTTTCTCTGGGACTTCCCTCAATTCCTAGAACACATATAAGCATCAGGGAAAACTGTTTTGGTGTTTTCTTCAACTTGGACATAGGAACAAATACATATTTGTGTGCAGCCAGTGTTTGTTTCACTGGAGTTCAGAACATTTCAGGATGTTTTCTTCAAACATGACAGCAGGAGCTCCTAGCTCATCTCCATAGCCAGAAGGGTTTGGTCCATGAGCTGGTTGCACTCTGTGTTAAGCCCATGCAGCAGCTCACCTCGTGTTCGTGCCAGGTAGACAGGAGATGCTCCAGAGGTGTGATTCCAGATGGAAGCTGGGTGCAGAACTTTAGATGTTCTGTGATTTGCTTTGTTTCTTGTCATGCTTCTGGGAAGTATTTGCACGTCAAATCTTTTTCAATCTGAAAGATGTCTTTCAATCTGAAGATGTGTGCACGATTTTTTGCTTCTCATTGACCAGCTGTAAATTGTTTGGCTTTACTCTTATGGCTTTAAGCAAGAGAAAGAACATGATAACACACGAGTAATGTTAGGGATTTTGAATGTAGGCTTTGAAAGTGCTTGGCATGCCAACTTTTCCATGCCCTGTTCTCATGCAGTGACCGCGGCTTCAAGAAATTAATGTTATGTCACTGTGTTCCCTTCACTCTTTACTGCTCACTTCATCACCAGAGATGCTCGATTTTGGGGAAGGTGGGTGTCCAACGGTCTCCTCATCTGGCACAGCCCTGTTGGGGGTTGCAGGTGTAAGCTCTAAAGCTGCTTTTAGAGTCTTTGCCATACATTTGGGATATATTGACCGATTCCTCTGGAAGTGAAAAGAAAGCAAGTAGTAAAGCAGCCTGTTTTCAGTGGGCTTCTTGCTTTTTGCTGTTGCTCTTTGGAAGATAAGAATTAGGCTTCTGGTCTCTCCAGGAAGGCTGGGAGAGCGCGGTGCATTCACCTGGGGGGAGTGGAGGGAAAGGTGGTCACAGCACGCCTGGGTGATGTGTTGATGCCAGAAGCTTTGCCTCTGCCCTTCATTCCTGGTGGTGACCTCACTGCACGCTTTGTTAAATACCGCTTTTCTTTGTTAGCACAGATTAATTTCAGTATCTGTGTTCTCATTAAGGAGCGCAACATTTGAAGACGCCGAAGCACTCCCCTCTAATTCTTAGGGTAACTGGATTTTGATTTACAAAAACTGCTGTGGGTCTCATGTGCACGTTTGTATTTGCATGGCTTTATTCCGTTATCCTCCTTAATATTTAGGCACACGGAGGCCTTTTTAGGGCACTCTGACAGTATTGCAGCAGCTCGCCATGCTCGAGCAGATGTTAAGCAGGCAATAGTTGAATGTTAATTTTGGGAGGGTGGGATGTTTAAGCCTATCTGAAGTATGTTGCATGTGGGCCTTCCAGACTTAGCTACAATGCTTTGTCTCTTGGGAGAATTTTAAAGCTAAACCTCTTTCTTTTTGTCGCTCTATATGGACTCTCTCAAGTCAGTATAAAGCAGATCATCCCTAGGCTAAAGCTCTTCAGCTTTTGTTATTGGGCTCTGTAGGCCTGTAATTAGGCCTCCTGGCAGGCCTTGCAGGCCAGTTAATGGTCATATGGAGTTTCTATGAGGCAGCCTGGCTTAGTGCAAATCCTTCGCGGGAATACGTTTATGGGTCACTTCCTACCAGGACCGGGCTTTGTGCGGCTGCCCCCGGGCTGACAGGAGCAGGTTCCCTTGACCATGGCCAGCTCGCTTTGCGCCGCACAATCTCCCACTAATCCCCAGTGTAAACAGAGGATTTAGCAGAGCTTCTGTCACTTACAGTTGCCAAACCACTTGGGTGTCTGTGATTCCTTTCCCAGCCTTCATTACCGAGAAGCACAGGAGATTTGAGCTCGGTTTGCTATTAAGCATTTACTCGTATTGCAAATGTTAAGAAAGAAGTTTGCCGTGCGCTGAATCCTGCTTCGCCAAAAGTGATGAGTGGTGGGAAACCTCGGACCTTGAAAGGCAGTAAATTTGTGCCGTTAATTGTTGTATGGCATCCGTGTTTCCTCGTTAAGATAAAAACATGGACAAATATCCCTAAATGGAAATGTGTTGATATGAATGTAGACCTTGCCAGCCATCAATCCTAGCAGAGTAGATTGAAAAATGTTCCAAGTGGAGGTTTCTTATTGTCCTTATAAAGACGATTACAAAAGGCAATTGATCTGGATTTTCAAAGGTCTAGAGTTGAAATAAGTGACTGATCTATTTTTGGAATCTGCATTTCAATCTATGGCTGAAAGAGCATTCAAGAATAGGGCATTTTTGTGCAAAGAATTCTTGATAGAGTTTATTTAAAGGCAACTGGAGAGCTGAGGCCCTAATATGACATTAGCAAGATGCGGGAGAAATTAATGAATAGAAATAAGCGTTTACCATTTATCAGATCTGTTTGGCAGCAGTTCTGGGTATCAGCTATTTTACTCATTATCTTTTGAATTATGCTATCAGATTGCTCCCTTTAATTTTGTACCATGCATCTTTATTACATTTTACATAGTCCTTACAGAGAAAATAATGGAATAGAAGCACTTTGTCTTTAGCCCGTGTAAGAATGCAAGTGTTTTATAATATTTATGTGTTTCTTTATCTCCCCATTATAATACATTTTATTAGAGAGAAAAATCCTCATTTGTGCTCCCAGTGCCTGATAAATACATAGCCCAATATTCTCTATTTTCTGGTATCACAGTGGCTCATAACAGATGTGGCTGAAAGGACCACATACGTAGACTGTATGATTTTAGTCTGGTGGAACTAATAGGATCACTCGCTACTTTATAGACTCTTGCTTTTCTTTTACTTTAATAAAAACTGTTTAGTTAAATAGGATGGCCTCTGTTTTGCTCTTTGCTAGCTATGCAAAGCAGTAAGGCAAGCAGGTGGCAACAAGTACGAAAACTTTCATTTTACTGGTGCTTAGCTTTGGATGCCAAACTTCTAAAGTGTAAAATGTTTATGGATTTATTGTGTTGGGTTTTTTATTGTTGTTTTTATTTTTTTTTTATTTTTAGTTTTTGATTTTTGGGTTTGTAATTATCCGAACGGCTTTAGAAGGGTGGATAATGTGTGTTGGCTTATATAAGCTAAGGGTGAAATAGGACATAAAAACTTCAGGTTTCCGTGATATGGGTAAAATATAACTTATAAAATACTCTTTTATCCAGAACTAGAAATTTTTATGATTTTAAAAGCTGCTGAAAATTGAAAAATAGATTAATTAATACAGTAGTATGTGCATATGCTCAGTCTGACTTGATACCAGCTCCTTATTTCTATCAGTATCAAACAGTTGCTTTAAGCTGCGTCCATCAACACTGAGTTTTACTTCTATTTGTATGGAAATCTCAATCCCGTGAGCACGAATGTCCCATTGAATAATTTCTGTACATCACAGCTGTTGATTTCATTTGCTGAAGACCTGTTTTTTAAAGGTGTGCTCAGGTACAAATCGGAGGAGAAGCTGTTGTTCCCATTGCTGCTGTGGTTTCAGCTACTGGCATTAATTGCTTATAGCCCTACAAATTGTCATTGATGTCTTTTCTTCCTTAATGCCTGCCTTAGTGCCCTCTCCGTGTCCTCTCTTCACACTGTGGCTCAGGTTTGGTTGGAATACTTGCTTAGTGAACCCAGTTTCTAGGCCAGCTGCTGGTTCCTACTTGGTCAGCAGGTAGCAGTTTCCAACTGAAACTTCTACTGCAATTAGACTTTGGAGTAGAACTTTTAAAGGGAAGTAAGCGCATCATCGTATGTTCATTATGATGGACAAGCTTGGAATCCTTACTGGGAGTCTTTCTGGCTTGGTTGTGATCCTTCCCATAGTGCTTAGTAATGTGCAAAGCCCTCAGGGCTGGGGAGAAGAAAAGCCTGAGAAATATCCATCCGGCCAATCTGGTAGGTCAGTGTGGGCTTTTGCCGTTGTTCTGTTTCTCAGCTGAACTTCCCATCACGTTGCCGGTTCTCTCAGACAGTTTCAGACCTTCCTGGGCAACTAGCTGTGAGTTTCCCAGTCCTCCATGTCCCAACGACCTGCTTGTCTCTGTGGAAGGCCAATGGCACTGCTGGGGGGCTGAGCACCCAGAGGTGGCCCTGCCCCACTTGGCTGCTCCCAGCCTGATCTTCGCATTGGGATTCTTGGGTGAATTTCATTGCCCATAGCTATTGGTGGCCAGGTGGTAGGTTGCTCTGTTTTAGGTCATTGCCATTCATTATGAAATGTAGACATGTAGCACTCACCCCTACCAATAGATATTATTTAATTTTTTCAGTTTATTATTTCAGAGTCTTTATCAGAACGTTTCAGGTCTAGTTCCATCGGTGCTCTTGTGTTAGTCTCAAAGCAGCAGAAAAGCTGAAAGGCTGTTGATAGTTTGAAATAAAATTAACACTTATTTTCCCTCATGAGAGCCTGATTTGTGAAGAGCTGGGTTGTGTATTTTAACACAGTGTGCATTTGGAATCAAGCCAGTACTGCATGTAATAATTACACATTACGCGAGTAAATAATAATAATAAAGACAACAAAAAACACTGATAAGAAAACGGATCTTTTATGATCTAGAATAAAATAGTGGTAGCTATTTTTTATATTGTGTGTTTGATGACAATTGGAAGTAATTCCAACAAAGATGCACAAGGATGCAGACAGTTCTTGAACTCACCTGGTCAGTGTGCAGCAGTGAGCTTTACAGCCAGGCATAAGTGCTTACACAGCTGGACATTAAATACATTTATTCATACATTACTTGCTCCTAATTTGTTGGCAAAGCTACATAATCTCATTAGGGTACTAAAAAAAAAAAATACTTTCTGCATGCAAAGCTACGGCTATATAATTAAGAGTCATTAATCCAAGTAATTATTTTTAAATCATATTAATGGTCTTGTCCTTATGGAGTATGTGGTTTTGATGTGCAGCTGTTTTGTGTCGTTGGTGAGCAAACAGTTACTTAATCGATAATATCTTCAACTTCTTTTTCATGATTGCTGAAAAAATACGATGTTTTAATTAAACTAATTTGAGTAGAGAAGAAAATATACCTGAAAGGAAGTAGTTCACTTCTGCAAGCTGTAATGCTGCTGTGTTGGTGTCTAAAAGCCATTCACTCTATGAACGTATTTCAGACTCTTATAAGGGATAACAAAATGCTTTGTTTTGAGCCATGGTTGTGGCATAGATTTCAATGTGTGTATTTTCCAGTGTAAGAAGCCCAGGAGTAGCTGCTAAATTGTACCCTAGAAAGGAGACCAGTGGAGTATTGCTGCCTTTTGGTATGTAAATACGGACATCAAAATTGAGACAGAACCTAGAAGTAAATGTACAGTAACTTTATTAGCCAGTGAACGTTTCGTGCCTTGAGAAATAAACCTAAAGCTGTTAGAATTTCTATTTCTTGGTTAGTTTTTTATCTGAGAGCTGTTGTGCTACCAGGAAACAGAAGTATCTCAGGCCCACGTTAGAACTAATAGGTTTTCAGAAACAACGTTGTAGCATATGGTATACATGATTTTTATGCAAATATGTGTGCTAATTACGTGCAGATGAATCTTGCAGTCCTGCTATTGATCTTAAGTCAAAGACAATTTTTCAGTTAGTTTAAGTTTTATACCAATTCATATTTAGCAACTTTGCCCGGTAATTTAATTATGCGCCGCTTTGGCTGCAGAAACCATATGTGGTTGTGCAGCAATTTGCTGTTTAAAAATGCCTTTTGGGAAATGTTACATCTTAATATCGACAGCACAACATCCATTTCTCATGGTAAACTATCTGTTGTGCGAGCATCTCTGTAGGTGCCTGCTTTGGTCTGTGGTCATTAAAGCATTGGCCAGAATGTGTGTCCTCAGGTCATGCCAGTACACACACCCGTACATTCCAGTGTGTTTCCCACCCTTCAGTTTCCTTCCTCAAACAAATCTGGAGAGCATTTGGCTGTGCCCAAAGAGAGGTTGTACAGTGCTTGGTCTGCCCAGAGTGCTGCCTTTTGCTGATTAAGCGAAGACACTTAAGACCTAATTACAATAAGGCAGAATCATTCTGGAATAATGATGGCTTGCAGAAATACAAATGGGGTTTAGAGATCTTACAGCCCTGAAAATACAACAGGAATTTGTGAATGTTGGTAGGCGCAGGTAGTTGGTGCAGTTTGGCTCTCTCTGCTCGTTTGCCCATTCGTTGGAGGTGTTCAGTTCAGAAGCACAGTCAGTCCAGCACCTGAAGGTCTTCTTCCGTGCCTCCATGATCTTCCTATAACTCATTTATATTAATTCCTTCACTTGAACCAAGAACAGTATTTAATGTGGGTAATAAAATCCTTGTTTTACAGTTATTGAAAGAATATTTATCACGGCTTTATTAAATATAGAGTAATAAGTGTGCCATTTTTTCCAAGTGCTTTCGTTTGTTCATGTTTTCTTTGTTGACCCAAATGAATGAAATTAGAACAAACAATCTCTGAGTCATTTGTAATCAAGAGCTGATTAATGGAGTTTGGTTTCATAGCCATTATTCATTCAAGAACACCTGATATCCTTCCCATAAACAAATTGTGTTTGTCCAAATTAAGAAATTAAATGAAGCATTTGATGAGTTTATGATTGACCCTTCTAACTCCGAGCCCATTAGTCAATGTCGTTATCATACAAAACTGTTTGACTAATGTGCTGTCTGAAGAAGCATGTGGATTTATTATGATTTCTGATTAATGCGTGCTGCAAGCCAAACTACTAGATTGTAATAATTTTTTGATTTTCATTTGAGCAATCGCTGAAGATTTTCATCAGTGATGAAATGCGTTTGTGTCCCATTAGATTTAGAGATTATTATAAGGTGTTGACTAAATAAATCTTGAAGCACAGTACTGGATGTTTTTCAAAGATGGTTTTTTCCCTTTTAGTGCTGTGGTGGGCAGTCATCCTTATAGAAAGCCAAGCATCTTTTAATAGGAGCTTCTGTGTGACTGATATTCTCATGGCTGAGACTGCCAGTAAGAATTCCTGTAAAAAAAAATGGGCATTACTGATTTCCTTCTGTTCATAGTTTTGGTTTATGAAATGTTAATATCTGTTTTAAAAGTGGCTACTCTGGTTGTTTTGAAAGGCTTCTTACAATACTGAGACCAAGAATGTGCGTGAAAAGTAGATTTTAAGATAAGCTTCTGTAATAAACGGGTGGCTTTGCTTCAAATACCACTCTCCCCACTATTTCAGGAAGCATATTATGTGTGTTAATAATTTTATCTAAAGATAAATAAGTATTTTTCCTCAGAAAAAACACCCAAACAGTACCTCCAATCTGAAAGCCCTGCATGGTCTTCTCTGAGAGCTTTGGATAGTAACTATTGCAGAGTGCATCTAGAGAGTTTAGCCAAAAGAAAATCACCCAAACATATGATGAATAAACTTACCCTGACTGCCCAGAGCTATATTTGCCTGTAGCATTTAAAACTCCTAATTGCTTGCCTGGTATTAAGCTGCTTAGAGAGACCTGAGCAGGCACCAGCAATCTTCGTTTGATCCTAAACCAAAGATTGTGAAAAGGAGAGAGCAAGTGAATTAAAGCACTGCCTTGGATGCTTTCTAAGAACAGCTAAAACCTAAAAATAAAGACAGTAAATAAATAACAACGACCTAATGGCAAGGGTGGTGAAGCTGGTGTTTATTCTTCACTCGAATGGCGTATTGGCACGTAACCCATCCATCTGCACACGTACGCATGTTTCCGTTGCCTTTTGTAAGAGAAAAGCTAAGCTTTCATGTAACGCTCTTCCAAATACGAATCAATATGCAAAAGCAAGAAAAGTTCATACTGAATTAAATCTGCAGACAATTATTTTGGCTGTGTTTCCACAAGCTTAATGAAGAATTGCACTGTGATGCATGGGAAAGGGCAAAGTGGGGTCTTTGTTAAATGGCAAGGAGGAAGACTTGCGCCCTTTGCTGTATTGCTTGTATTGATTACCCTAGTGAGAAGGAAAAAATATTTTGAATCACAGCTGACTTGAACAATCAAATACATGTGCGTATGTCAGGCCTTCCCATTAGTTCTATTCTATTTCTGTTCTGCATGGCTACAGTGTAATTTATTATTTAAGATTTCTGGGCTGACTTCTTTGTTTAAGCCATTGTGTATCCCTTTATGCTGTTAAAATACCCACTGAAATTATTTAATCAAGGTATTGTCTTAAAGGTTTTGAGCATTTTAAGCTCTGAAGCCCTTGGAGAGCACTGAGAAATGTTAATGGTGTTATATTGGTTAGCCTCTTTGAGCAGGATGAAATCGTGACTCCACTGTTACCAACTCAAGGCAAGAGAACCTGAGGGAGGATTCTGTTCTTTATGAAATCAGGGTTATTTGTGTTCACCTGATAAGAGCACGGGTATTAGAACTGAACCCTGTTGTGCCTGAGCTGTGCTGCTGGGCACAGGGCAGTGCTTAGGGTTGGGCTGAAGGTGCCCAGTTTGGTCAGTGCAGGTAAATGAAGGGCCAGGTGTGTTGTTGGGTGTTTGTGCAGTGCTGGAGTGGAGCAGGGAGGCAGTAATATCTTGCAGTGAGAGCTGATAGTAGCTGAATGTATGTCCAATGATCTCATTAAATGCAAATCATTGCTGTAAGTGGTGTTCTTAACTATGTTTGTGTCAGAGCCATCTGATCAGTTGCTTTGGATGCATGTGGCAGAATTTCACGGTGCAGGCAGCTCCTTCCTCATGCTCTGGTTCCCTCACAAGCCCAGCTCCAGGCTTCTGCTTCCTTGGGGAGGAGATATGGGGGAGGTCAGCCACAGTTGTTTGCAGTAATCTCTCCTTCAGAGTTTATCAGTTTGAGGAAACTTAGGGGTAATTGCACTGGGACAAAACAAAAAAGGAGTTCTCGGTGCAGAAGCTGCTGCTTGTTTCATCCCATGTGCTTTTAGCACTCACTAAAGAGGAGTCTTCCACATGTTTTATACAGACAAAGCATCTTTTTGTGCTCCTATCTTCAGAAATAGCTATGCTAAGTAATTTACCTCCTCCTCAAAGCAGAACAACAAACCAAATGCAGAAAAATCAATTGGAGCACACTTACACATGGAACGTTTTAGCCCAAACAAGTCAGAGCAATGAAGTTGCAATAACCAGGTTCCAACAGTCAAATAATCCTAAAGAGATGTTGTGCTGTCATCATCCTGCAATATATTAAGCTGTTCATCCTGAACTATATTATAGAAGTGCCGTTATTACGTGTGAGTGTTATTCCAATTATTTTCTGTGATGCATAAATTCAACCACAATCAGTGTGTAGGGAACCCTGCAGTACTTCCATTTTCCATCTCCCTTCTTGTCCTGCCTACCCATTGCCTTTAGCTGTCAGAATCTGTCATGGAAGTTCCAAAACCGGTTGTCTGAAATCTGCTCAGGTTATAACATAGAGGCCTCTGTTACTGAAGAAAATGTAGACATGAACCTGAGAATAGCCTGTGCTGTTCTGGCAATACCCTTAGTACTTGGTGGTGTCTTAGATAACAGTTCTGAGAGGCAGGTGGTGGAACTGACCCATGAGGGGATGCTCTATCAAGGTGCTCGCAGCCTTGGATGCTGCTTTACTTGCTAGAGTGTGGCAGGAGATGGGAAGTGCTGCTTTTCCTTGTAGTGAGGAGGATTTCAGCCTGGGTAACGCACTGCTTCCATGGAGGTGACCCTGAGGGATCCCCATGTGCCACTCTGTGTGTTTGCAGCAGGCTGTCCCAAGGTGCTGGGCTGCTGTCCCCACACTCCTGCAGCTGGCAGGGATCAGGCCTGAGGTGGGCTGCAGTGGGGCTGCAGCATCTGGTGGCCAACAGGGTGCAGAGGGGGCACTTTGACATCTGCCACTGTTCACCATCTTTGTCAAGGGTGTGTTTGAGTTAAAATTATGATTGTTTTCCACCACAATCCCAAGCAGGGTGACAGCAAGCACTGAGGAAGCAGAACAAGGCAGAAGGGAACCTGGAGCTTGCAGGAGTCCATGTCAGAGGGTGAGAAAGGAGTTCTGCAGAGATGTCAGCTGCTCATGTCCCAGTGAGCTTAACCCCTGTAGTATTATCTTCAAGTTTCTGCTGCAGCATGCCTGTAGTTTTTAAAGCTCATTAAGCTTACCAAATGGGCTTATTTCCAGTAGTGGTGGGACTTGTATTCTGAGTGCAGCCCATGCCCAGTGCCAGTCCCCATCCTGGCCACCCTCGCATCGTGGGCGTTTTGTTCTGAGGCTCAGCCTACCAACAGCTGATAAAATGAGCCGTGCTCTCCAGCAGATAAATTTACAGTATTCAGCTGTTTGTAGGTGATTATGCAGGGCTGCAACAAAATAAAGCCTAAAGCGTCGTATTAGCTGTGCCGTTTGTATGGGTGCTAATACACTTTGAATAAAGCCCTCAATTACTAAGCACTTCTGAGTCCTGACAAGACAGTCCCATGACGTTAATGGTATCTTTATAACCTTTTTAACTTCTTGTTTCTCTGACAGAGCACTACAATAACAGCGATGGGTTTGCCCTTGGCAAGCAAAAACTCATTTTGAGAGGATAATAAGTATTTACTATTTAGATAGCTGGCAATAAAATTTCTCTGAATGAGATTTTCCTGAGAAAATACAAACTGATTAAATTACTTTCTTTAATGGACTGGTGAAGCATGTAATAATAGTTTGTTGAAGCAGCAAGTCTAATGTTGAGCTTTTTATTTTTTTATTTTTTGGTGAAAACACAGAAGGATTTTTTCCAAACTTATTCCGGCATTTCCCTGCAAGTCACAAGGATGTTTTTTTCATTTTTTTTCAACTTAGGTAGGTATAATAAACTCAAATGAGTTTATTGGTGACAGCCAAGAGTTTCCAGAATGGCTGTGTGTTCATAGCCAAGTGCTGTCACACAGTGTAAGTAGCTGGGTGTGTGCAGAACCTTGTGCTGTGATGTCAGCTTCTGTTTTACAAATGTGCCTTTCCTGGGGAGGCACAGAGCACGCACTGCACTGCAGACATGAGTGCTGTGTGCAGCAGTGCTGTGCTCCAGCAGAAGGCTGTTTCCCAGCTGAGGTGGAATGTTTAAGATTAAGAGCAGAGCTCCTTTAAGAACTTGTCCTGGAGCACATTCAGTTATTTTAAAATGCTTCTAAATAATGTCATATTAAAGTCTGAGGAAAATGTTTGCAAATCAGTTGTACAGGAACAAATTTACCTGTGTTTTTAGCCAACCTGAGCTGCCTGGCTCTGAAGCAGGGTTGCTCTCATTCTTGTATTGGTGCAGACTGGAGTTGGGCACTGTTCCATGGCAGATCTTGCAGCTCACAAAGACCAGGGTATCTTCTCAATACTAATTCAGGAAGTACGTGTGTGTTCACGTGTACACGTGCAAGACCACCACCTTCTGTATTTTCAGTGTCAGCAGGAGAATTTCATCTTGTCACTATAAGAAAATTTATTGCAATTGGATCCAGATCATCATGCCCTTACGTTAAATATCCCTGAATATGCATACGTTAAGAGCACTGATTTGCAGGCTTTCATTTTCTCTCAAACCCCTGGCACAGTCGTGCATCATTTTATCTGGCACTTTGTAATTTCAGAAAATCTTTATTCTTGGCACTGGGAAGTGCTGGGGATACTGCCTCACACCAGTAGCGTAGCACTGGAATAAGAGGATAATATTGGTAATATTTCTTTTCCTTTTCTAATTTAAACATCAGTCACTGTATGGAGCTGCTGTGATGTTGCAAACAAATTCATAAGCTGCACTGCATTTGATTTTAAAAACAAAACAAAACAACAAAAAACACAGCTTTCCCCTCAGCTCAGTAACTCCCTTGGAAGCTCATACAATACTGCATAGGTTTATAAATTGAACTCTCACTTTTTTTGGACGTACCGGACTGGATGAGTGATGGCTGTGTCTATTTGCCATAAAATTTTAATTATGGAATAGGTATGAATCATTGCTCCTGCTTTTTAAAGTGTTAAAATATTAGAGCTTTGTTATTTATTATACCTGTGAGGACAGAGGAAGAAAATGGAAGGGATTTCAAGTCGGTGAAGGCTGGATCCTGACCTGGGCTGATGGCTTTTGCACCCTCATCCATGCGAGGTGCTGCCATGGAGCTGCTTGGATGGACAGACAGTGCCTTCTCTCACAGGTACTGAGGCTCCCACCCTGCAAAGTCTGGCAGACTAATTAATTTCATTACCTTAACAACCCTGTGGGTCTCAGCGCTGCAGTTTCTGATCCCGGTGCTGTTGCAGAGCCGGGCGTTAGCAGCGCTCTGCTGTGTCCCCAGAGGTGCAGGCGTTGCAATAAGCCTCGTGTGCTCCCTGATCGACACCAAACTGAATGTTTGAAAAGGGGGGAAAAAAAAAAAGGTAAAACAACAGGAATTGTGCAGGATTTTGTTGCCAGCTGCTGCCAGTGAAATGCTGTGTACGTTATCAGAGTTTCAGAGTTTGTCACCGACTGAAGCAGCAGCGTATTTAAACACAAAAATCCTGCAGCCCCATCAGAACATTTATTTCCCAATTTTTTTTTGTATTTTAGGCCATTGCTGCGTTCAGCTTTATTTGGCATGTACAGGCATTACTTTCAACGTCTCCCACTTTGAATTTCTCTTGCTCAAAATGAGATTTTCCCTTTCGCTGGGAGCCTGGCTGTCATGGGCAGGGCTTTTACACCGAGACAAAGTAACAGATTGAAGTGGTTGCAGGGCTTTAATCCCTTGGTAAATTAGCCAGCAGGCTCGCCTTTTCATGGCTGTGCTAAACAACAGGTTGATGCCATTTGGGCATTAGCAACGAGAACCACCTGAGGGAATAGGAAATGAATAAGGAGAGCTGCAGCGCGGGCAGAGCGTGCCTATTAGAGCCGCGTCTTTCTGCCAGAGAGAAGTGATAACGCTAAATGAGTTTTTAAAAGACAAAGTTGGGGATTATATAGTCATTTATGATTTGATTAATGGGTAATTGATCCCGGTAATAGCAAACATCCAGACAGGGCTGTAAAAAATAAAAAAATAACAAACCAGCCACCTCGTCTTTTCAGCACCGTGTTGGGTTTTCTGCTTTTATTTCAGCCCGTGGTTATAGATGAGCATTGTGCAGCGTGCAGGTAGCTGTGCTTGGATATTTTGGTCGCCTGCTGCTGGAAAGAAATTTTATGTTAAAAAAGAAATTCATTACTTTTAATACAAACTTAAGGATAGATCTAAAACAATTTTTAAAAGGTCCCTATTTATTTAGGCTTATTTTTGTTACTCAGTTAAAACAGTGGGTGCTTGTTGTTGTTCAAGATTATTTATCTGGTAATAGCAGATAACGTTACTCTAATGAAGAAAAATATTACATTTTTGTGCTTGCAGCAGTAAGAAATCAATAGTACATTTAGGAAATATAGCACAGAAAGCTGATGTCAGATGAAAGACGCTGGAACTACCTGTTAGCCTCCGAGTCCCTCCCTCGGAGCTTTTAATTTTCTATTTAGAAAAGGGGTTTTAGGGATCAATATGAAGATCTGTTGATAATATTATCTTTAATTAGAGTAATCAAAAACCACGCTTAGAGCGTGACACCTGCCAGGGAGAGCTTCAGAGAGGGGAGAGCAGCATGTGTGAGCTGTGTGCTGTCCGTGGGCACTGATGGAGGCACGGTCCCAAATGGGAGCTGCTCGCTGCTGCGTCGGCTTTCATCTGCTTTGGGGGGCGGTTTATTCTCCCATAATGCCATTGATCAATGATTTCCTTTCAGCAGTGATGTAATTAAAGAGCTTTCGTCAACTTTGTGCTGTGTTGTTGGGAAATGTATTATTCTGGAGATTTGGAGGAGGATCGATGGCAGCGGGGCACGGTGGGATGCACACCTGGGCCTGGGGCTGAGCCGTGCCTGCCCTGACCAGGAGCTGCCCTGCTGCTGCTTTCGTTGTGCCTGCTATTGAGCTGAGCTTCTTCAAAGGAGCTGCAATTGAGTGCTGTAAGGAAATGGTAATTAGAGCAGTTATTTTTCAGAGGGCTTATTGCTCTGGTTGCGATGTGCATCCACTATTTTAAAAATAATCTTAGAATGATATCTTAAAAAATCTCTTAAAGTTATCCTGAAAACGAAGTCAGATTTTGTTTATGATGTGAGCAGAAAACCATCACGTTACCATGTTGAGCAATGAGTGTGGTGCAAAGCTGAGCACGAGGGGAGGCACTGACAGCCTTCCCCCATGCGCTGAGCAGTGCTGTGTCACACTGGAGCACCTCTGTAGCTTTCCAGACTCATCTGTCTCATGTGAGTATTGTTTGCCATCCTCAGAACTAGAAAAGAAGTGTGAAAAACAAGGGAGGCAGTTCCCAAAGGGCTCTCAAATTGAGCTCACTGGTTGTCTTCTGTGCACCCTGAATCCTTGTGCTGGCATCAAGCCTAGTCCTGCTGGGGGGTCTGTAATGAACTTTCTGGGCTCAAGACCACATGAAGCTGAGCTGGAGCAGCTCTGGGCAAATAGAACCTCACAGGCAGGCACTGGGTCTTGTGTGTGGGCACTGTTCCCACTCTTCTCTTTGTGCGTGCATAGTTGACCATTGTAGACACAGCTTTAGGCTCAGTACTTTCCATGTATGATTGCCTGTACTACAAGAAGTGTTTTTTTTTCTTCTGGTAGAAGCTATCATAAAGCTACTCAGGAATGCACTTGAACACGAGTTAATTCTAGTTAATTATTGGGTATTCTACTGAAAGAATTCTGTACAAAGGATATACAGGTGCTTTGCAGATGTACGTGTAAGCTCAGAATGTAATTTGTTTTGGACGGGGGACCTGAACAGAGGGGTGCTGCCATCAATTCAGCAAGGTCTGTGACGGGCATTTCCCTCCTGGTCATTGCAGCTATATGCTATTAAACAGTCAGCTTTCAGTATTTCCAGTTCTTTACATTTTCTAATCATGGGAGAAATAGTAAACTGCAAAAACAGACTTTGCAGAGCGCTCCAACCATAAGTTAAACTTGGCTGGAAATGAAATCTAATTGAAGAAGGTCTGTGGAATCTCTGACGTTGAATAAGGCTGCTTATTTATTGCTTTGTTATAGCTCTATACAAATACATGGATGCACGTGTCTGTACTAAAATTAAGCTGTCCAGGCTTATGAGAGCCGGTTGGAATCTCTCAAGGTTGCAGCTGAATAAGTGTAAATGCATGTGTACATTATAAGATGCATGCCCTTGGAGGGCCTTTCTCACCGATGACAAATCTTTCTGAAATCCTCTCCCAGAAATCAGTCCTTTTTTTTTTTTTTTGGCTTAGAATCTCTGAGGTTTTTAATTTCCCACTTACTCTAATGGATTTTAATAGAAGTTTCCAAAACAAATATTTATTTGAGGTACGCTATGACATGAAATGCTTCAAAAAAATGTTTGATACCCCACATTCCTTTCTGCATTATTTAAGCAGTAGTGCAGGAAACTTTACTGAGCGGCGTTCGCACGGCGCGTGCTGTGGGTGTAGCTTTCTTTTAATGCAGCTATTGGATTGGAACCCACGTAGCCCCTGGCATAATTCCAGCAGCGATCTGCTGTGCGTAGTGAAGATAAATTGTTTGTTTTCAGCAGCATTTCTTCATCTTTTTCGCTTAATCTGGAATGAAATTTTACAGTCAGCAACCGAATTTTTAAGCAATATATTTACTCCTTTTGTCCCGAGGGAATACTTAATAATGCTTGTACAGTAAATGATTATAGTGGTTAATGATACAAGCTGAGAATGTTTAGTTTCCTGTATTTTTTTCCATCAGAAGGATTTCTGTGGTGCAGCACAGAAGCCCACGTTTCGCTCTGCTTTGTACGCCCAGCTCTCAAGGCTATCAGAAGTGTAATTGAGTGTGTGTTGGCACCAGCAATAAGTCTTTCACACAAATCTTTCCTTGACACACACTCCCCCTTTTGGTGCCAGATGTCAAGTTCTTTTGGATGCCTGTCTTATGATTTTGCAGTTAAAGCACAGTAAATCGTGGGAGTTCACTGTGCCTGGACCTGGATGTTCCTTCTCACTCCACAGCACTCAGGTGCCCCGTTCCTCATCTCTGTTCCTCACGGACATTTTGACCACGATTCTCAAAAACAGCGTTTTGCTTTTTGTTTTCATGATGTCGTGGTGTTTGGTGGTGGTTTTACGCTTCTATTGCTGTCGTTTTTATCTTCCATTCAATTTTTGTTCCTTTTATGTGTCAGTTTCACAAAGATTTTTCATTAACATTGTGGTGAAAGTGGAAAATTGTCTTCAGCAAAAGTTCTGTCTTCAGAACACTTTTAAAATGCCTCTTGGTTCTTGCAACATTATTTGTATTTTAATTATACCCCATTCATTGTTTGCACTGTATTGTACTTCTGAAAGTATTATTTCAACAGTAACGTTGTGCTCAGAGGTTAATTCAATTTGATATGGCCACGGTTGGTATAATGAGAATATGCCTAAGTTTTAAGCCTGGTTGCATGGTCTCCATGAAGTCAAGTGGCATTTCTGATGGAGCAGGGATTTGGTTGGTCAGGTACAAGATACAGGATCATTATTCCTTCCTTGTGGGAGGAATTATCTTTGTTTACTCCAGCCTTTGGTTTTTAGAATAATCTAATTTCTCCAGAATCTGTTAAACAAAGCATTATCTTCATGGTTTGGGATGTGAGTTTTTCTAGCTGTTTTTCTAGTCAACTACAAACATGAGTTTTAATCTTTTTTTTATTTTAACTCAAAATTTAGTTTTGGGTTTCCTTATTGAAGACAGTTCTGTGGTGCTTCAGGAAGTCAGGATTTTTACTGCTCCATTTACAAAAGAACAGAAGCTGGTGCTGTTTTTCAACAATCACGTTTAAGCCACGTTCCCTTCTTGTGTCTTCGTTAGCCTCCCTCGCTAATGGTTGGAGGTTTTTATTTCTGAAGGTGGAAATCTGTCTGAGTGAGCTTTGGGCTCTGCGGTCATTACCTGCAGCTTAAATTAGGCCAGCTTCAGCACAGTCCTTTTGTAAATCTTTTTGCAGATCTTTGTGCAAGGAGAAATTTGTCCGTTACCAGCCTTCGTCTTTGAGATGCATACAGGAGTCTCCTTTGAAAATTATTGCTTCCTTGTACAACAGAGAAGGAAATTCAGAATTTCCCTTTTTATATGTTGTTTCCATCACCCGTTTGGAATCATGCTGGGGATAGTTTCTAGAGTGCTTTCTTAGTGGGATCAGCTGTCACTGCTTTTTTCCAGTACATGCAACGTGGTTGTAGCTGGTACCTAAATCTTACACCAGGAAGGCTGTGAGAAGAACCTAGGCAATTACCTTTGCAGTTGGATGCTCTTTGGGCTGTGTGGCACAGCAGATCTCACTGTGCCTATTGGTGGATTCCTGTGTAGATGAGTGGCCAGAGGCCATTCTGCATGGGAAAGACTTTTGGTCATGAGGCAGTAGTCAAGAAATAAATTTGGGGAACTGAATTGGGGAACTCTGTGTTTTGGGGATGAGGATGAAGGCTGTCAGCTCCATGCAGAGCCTTTCCTTCCATGGCATCCCATAAGGCCAGGGGATTTGTGCTTCTCATGGCCACGATCACCAGTGTGAGCCTCACAGCCCTGTGCTCACACATGGATTATTTTATGCCCAGGTTAGAAGTAGGGCTTGCCCATCAGCCTGTGTCAGATCTGGTTTTCACAAGGAAAAAGTGCTGCTTGTTGTGGTGACATACAGTGTGCCGTGGTACTTCTCTGTGCTGGGAATCTCCTCAGCCACATATGATGAAGGCTTGTTTGCCAGAGTTACTGTGGGCCTTATCTGAGGCTATCAAAGCAGAATGAGCTGTGAGGAGGGCTGTGTGGATGGGTCTCTGACAACAGCATCGCTAACAGGAGCTGCTTTCCCATTTTGATCCATTAGGTTTTTATTTGGTCAAAAGCAGGAGGTAAAATGTCTGGGAGCCCTCAGCAGGTTCCCTGGGCTGCCTTGGCTTCTCTCAGAGTTGTTTTTCGTAATGGTTTATAAGTACTCCCCAGTTTATTACTTCCTTTTGCTGGGCAGATTAGTTGTCATCCGTGCGGTTTTCACTCAGCGCGGTGATTCCTGACATCTCGCTGTTGGCAGATGAAAGGAGGGTTCATTGTGAATCTGAGTTTTGTGACAGAATTTTTCCAGT